AGGCTGTCATTCCCCTTGGAGATGCATCTGGAGATGTTCTTTATTCTTTCCTCTGAGGGTGGGGAGGCTGCCCAGGGCAGCTGCCCCATCCCTGGCAGTGCCCAAGGCCAGGCTGGAAGGGCTTGGAGCACCCTGGCATGGTGGAAGGTGTCCCTGCCCATGGCACAGATGAGGATGTTGGGGTGCTGCTCACTGGTTCCGTGGAGCAGGAGGGGCAGGGGTGGGGAGTTAAATGTCCATAGGGTTGGTTAATGAGGAGCTCTCTCCTGTCGAGCCCAGAGTTGTGTGGCAGGGCTGGAGTCTGTCTGTGGGCTTTGTCCCTGTTCCTTGTCCCTGTCCCAGTGTGCCCGTGTCCTTCCCTGGGAGCAGTCCTGGCTGATGGGTGCCAGCTCCCACGCTGCCTCCCGGCTGCCCACATGGCCTGGGATTGGAGCCAGCAGTGCTTTCATCCTCCTCCTCCTCTTCCTCCTCCCTCCAAGGGCCAGAGGGCACCCTCTTCCCTTCCATCCCTTTCAGGACCTTTTGAGGTCCTTCACGGACATATTTGGTCTCAGTGTGTGGCTTGGACTTGGTATGCCCTGGGCAAAATCAAAACCATTTTCCAGTGTTTCCTTGGCCCAGTGAGGGGCCAGGGGACGATGGTGGGTGTGTGTGTGTGCCCGGGGCTGGCTCTGCAGAGCCCTGCCATTCATTCCCAGCCTCATTCCTCATGGCTCAGCCCTGCTCCTGATGGTGTTCCAGAGTCCTGTTCCTCCATCCTCTGGGAGGGTGCTCGGGGTGCCCTGGGGGCTCCAGTCCAGAGCAGGGTGCCTGGGCTGGGTGTCAGCCCTGCTCTCCCAGCTGGCAATGCTCCATGGGCTGGGACCACCACAGCCTTCCCTGCTGGATCCAGCCATCCTGGAGCAGCAGGAGCTGCCATTCCCAGCCCAGTCCATCCCAGGGCAGGCTCCCTCTCTCTGTTCACCACTTTGCCAGGGGGCTGAGTGGGATCCAGCCTCTCCAGCAGCAGGGTCTGGGGGCCTGGTGTGCACCGGGCTGGCCCCTGGCCAGGGGTAAACAGCTCCTTTGTTTTCCTGGAGAAGTACGAGGGATTATATTCTGTTGAGCTCACTCGGTCTCCCACTTGGCATTGTGCAGCCACATGTAATGGGCTGCTCCGAGGAGCTGAGTTAATTGTTTGTGAAACAGGAAGGGTGCTGCTTGTCTCCTGCAGGGAGGTGAGCTTGAGAGGGGCATCCTGGAAAGGGGGTGGCTCTTCCAGCTCCTCAACCAGGAGGGATTGAAGCCAAATTGTGGTTCTGCAGCCCTAGATTTGCCACTCTGCAAATGCTGTCTCGAGCTGGGGAAGGCTCTTCCAGGCAGGAATCTGTGCCTCCCCTCTGACTCTTATTAAACGTGCTTAAAAATGAAAGGAACTTATTAAACGTGCTTAAAAATGAAAGGAAGGCAGCGTCGTTGTCGGTAATTGTTGTGCAAATGTGATACTCCCTGCAAGCTGTGGAACAGGCCAGGGCTGTGTTTACCCGGAGAGGCAGCCGGCTTTCCAAGTGTAATGAGTCAGCTCTGCGAACAGAAGGGGCGCAGAATTAATCTGGCATCCGTCTGGCCTTTTCTCAGTTAAACAGGTTTTGGAAGCTCCACGTGAATAGGTGCCTACCCTGGTACAAGCAGCCACAAAGGCTTGGGAGTGGGCACGGTGTTTTTGGGAATCCATTGGCAGTGATGTGGGGCTGGGTTTGGGAGCAGAGCGTGGCTGGTCCCACCATCAGCAGAGGTGAAGCTGCTTGGGTTTAATATCCAATTTATTTAATATAAATAAATTTCCCTCGCCCAACACTTCATCTGAATTTCCACCTCTCAGATTTGCAGTGAATATTGAAGGGAATATTGTCCCCTGCTCCTGCCTCCTCCCAGGCACATGCTGCTGTCTCCTGGATCTGCACCTTAATGAGCCCCTGTAAGAGAAACCGAGGGGAAATAATTCTGACATGTTCCCAGCTGGCTAATGATGCCTGGCAGAGGGAGATTGCTGGGGCTGGGCATGGCTGCAGGGACCCAGCGTGGATGTGCAGCATGGAGGGGACCCTGTGGGCTCTGCTGGGCTGTCCCAAAGCTCAGCTGGCCCTGTGTCCAGCATGGGGGCACAAGGAGGTGTTTTCTCAGTTCCCAGAGTTTTGTTCCTAAATACAGGATATGAAATATGGGATAACAGCTTTCCCACAGGCAGACAGAGGAGCTGGGCTGGAGAATCAGCTGCCTTGGGAAGCAAAGTCTCCTGCTGGGAACACCAGCACTATCTGTGCCTGGTGCTTTGGTCTGGGAATTTGTGCTGCTTCACACAAATTTGGCTGGGCTGGGGCCTCTGAACCACCTTTAGAAACAAAACAAAACAAAACAAAACAAAACAAAAAAAAAAAAAAAAAAAAAAAAAAAAAAAAAAAAAAAAAAACAAACAAAAAAAACCAACCCAGAGTGTCCCAAGGTCTCTGTCTCTGAGGCGTAAATGGAACAGAAATTTTGAAGGGATTTCCAGAAAACTTTTAAATACAAGACTTCTGTCTCTCCTCTCTGAGAATTCCCCTCTCCCTGGACAATTTGCTGCAGTTGTAGCTCTGCAGAGCTGCTGCTGTAAATGGTAATTCAGAGCTGGCAGGTGACAATTACGTTGGGAGAAGTTTCCTGTCTGTGCCACTCCAGCCTCAGGCCAGGAGCCCAGCTGCTGTTGGGGGGTCACTCCTCACAGAAATCCCACTGCACTGATGCTCTGCAGCCTCTGGTGTGGGGAGAGGAGATGTTCCTGTTCACCTGAGAGGGCTGTGGCTGCAGCTGGTGTTCTCCTCCAGCTGTATTTCACATGGCACTTGTCTTCCCAGCCCTGTAACCAGGCAACCCAGGAGGAGCAGGAGCTTTGTCCTCTCCAGGTTGGCTTTGCCAGGCCAAGGTGCAGGGCAGGGTGAGGGGCTGTGCCAAACCAGTCCTGAACACTGAGCCCTCCACACTCCCTGCTCGTGCCTCACAATGGCAGCACGTTCAGAAAGTGCATCTTTAATGGAGGGTTTGTAATTGGTTTGGTTCTGCAGGTGTGTCTGGGATTTCAGTGTGGCAAACGGGTGCAGGGCAGTCCCAGCCTGGGCTGTGTCCGTGTGTTCCTTGCTCAGGACACACTGCAGCAGGCTGTGTGTGCCCTTGGGGGGATGCTGTGCATGAAGAGCAGCAGGGCTGTTGCTCTTTGGTGGGATTTGATCCCTTCTGGGCTGTTCCTTGCATGGGAAACAAGCTGTGTCTGCAGCTGCAGGATCCACTTTGGAGTTGGCCTCTTCTCCCAGGAAACAAGTGATGGGATGAGAGGAAGCAGCCTCAGGCTGTGCCAGGGGAGGTTCAGGTTGGACACCAGGAGGAATTTCTTCATGGCAGGGATTTTCAGGCATTGGAAGGGTCTGCCTGGGGAGATGGCAGAGTTCTCATGCCTGGAGGTGTCATCCAAGGAAGGCCTGGATGTGGCACTGAGTGCTCTGGGCTGGTTTCAGGCTGGGATTTGGCACAGGTTGGACTCAGTGCTCTGGGAGCTCTTTTCCAGGCTGTGATTCTGTGTGATTCCATGTGTGATTCCTTGCAGCACCTCTGTTACTCTCAGGGAAGGTGGCAGGAGCCTGACACCTCATTCATTTTCCTCATTTGAGGCTGCTCTGCCATGCTGGTGTTGCCATGCCGGGGTTGGGAGGGGGTTTATCCTTGTTTTTCCCCCCACCATGGAGAGACCCTCTGAGATGTCTGACCTCCCTTCTCCTCTTTCCTGCAGACGGTTGATGATGAGGCGATGGCAGCATAAATGAAGATCAAGTAAGGAAGGCAGAACGATGCCCAAGGGTGGGTGTTCTAAAACACCACAGTCAGAAGATTTCTCTCTCAGCAACGACATGGTGGAGAAACAAACGGGGAAAAAGGTAAAGTGTCTGGGCCACCTGCCCTCCTTTGGGTGCTGCTCTTTGAGCCTGGAACTGAGACCATGGCATTGTTTGACATGGCAGGAGTTGCCCTGGCTCTTTCCTGGGCATTTACACTGGTGTGCTGGTGCTCTGCCAGCTGATGGGGTTGGGTTTGTTTCTCTGTGGCTGCAATCCTTCCCAGAAATTGCTGTGCTCACCCAGGCCCGAGTCAGCTGAGCAGCAGGGGCTGCTTTGGAAGATTCTTTTTTGCAAGTTCTGTGTGTTTTTAGGGGTTTCTGCACTCAGCTGTGGAGAGCTGAGTGATGTGGTGATGGTGCAAGTGTGTGCTGGGTGAGGGAGGAGCTTCTCCTCCTCCGGGTGGAAATGCAGGTCCTTGTCAGCACGGCTGCCCTGGCTTTCCCAGCAGCACTGCTGGACCAGGCCTGCGAGCTGCTCTGCTGAAATTGCTGCTCTGAGAGTTGATCCAAGGTGTTGTCTGGTTTTTGGCGTGGCTTAGGTGAAACTGCTGAGATGAAATCTGAGTTTAAGGGTAAATACCTTCACACTTCTCCTCTTCATCCCATTTTGCTCCAGGCATGAGCCCAGTCTGTTCTCATTCAGCTTTTCCCCCCCTTCTCAGTATCAGTCATTTCCAGTCAATAGCTGTGCAGAAAACTGCAAATGTTACCTTGAAATAAACATGAAAACCTACATCTACTGAATTCTGCTAAGGAACAAATCCCATCCACTTCCCTTTCATCTCCCTGCTCCAGTTTCTCAGCATTCCCCTGGGAGTTTCTGCCAGGCCCGGGAGCTGAGGCTGAGCATGGTGAGCCCCAGCTCCGTCACTTCCCCTGCGGTGATGGCAGTAACTCCTTGTATGACTGAGCTCGTGTTACTGACAAAATGAGAGAAATACAAAATAACCAGCAGGAAAATCCCGCCGGGGTTTGGTTATGGAGCACCTTGGTGGCATCTGCCCCATCCTCTGTGTGTCACTGCAGGTGCAGGAGTGCTGTGGGGCTCTAGGAGGGGCAGCTCTGGGCTCAGGGATGTTGGAGGGGAGCAGCTGCCCAGCAGCATGGGGGGGATGCCAGCCTTTGCCCTGGCAGAGCAGGGTATGTAAATACAGGGTAAGAGGCTTAATGCTGGCGCAGGTGCTCGGGGAGGAGAGGCTCAGTTGGAATATGAATCAGCTCCCATTTTATGCCGTGCACTCGGGCAGCTCAGAGCTGTGTGTTATTTACAGAGCAGGTCTGGCGAGCGGCGCGGGGCACGCCGGGAAGCGCAGTTATCTCCTGCTGCCTAAATAACTGGGACACAATTCCTGCTCCCTTCCCAGTGCCACCGAGGGGACAGGGCAGGGCTGCTGCTCCTTCACTTCTGGCTTTTTCACAGGCCTTGTCTTGCAGGGGCTGAGCTGAGCTCAGCCTGAGTGGCTTTTGCCCTGTTTCTGGTTAATTCTGAGGCTGAGCTCGAGCAGTGACTCAGGGGAAAAGCACTTCGACCTCCTCCCTGCAGACGCTGTTGTACCTGCCTGTCAGCAAGCGCTGCCTCGCGTTTATCTTGCCTTTGTCAACACGTTCAAAGGCCCGAGCTGGGACTTGGCACCGCTTCCCTGGCAGGCTGAGAGGGAGGGCAGAGCCCGGGTCAGGCTCAGGGACCCGCCGTGGGCACGGGGAGAGCGTGGCAAAGTGATGCCAACCGAGCGTTCTCCTCTTAATGGCACCTTAGGATCAGTGGTTGGTTTAGCATTAAACAGGCTTTACCTGCCTGGGCTCTGCAGCTCTGGCAGATGGAGGGGGGTCCTGGTGCTGCACAGGGGACAGGGGGCTGGCCTTGAGCTGAAAAAGAGCAGGTTTAGATGGAATATTGGCAAGGAATTCTTCCCTGGGAGGGTGCTGAGGCCTTGGCACAGGGTGCCCAGAGGAGCTGTGGCTGCCCCCCAATTGTCCAAGGGCAGGCTGGAGGGGGCTTGGAGCAACCTGGGCTAGTGGAAGGTGTCCTTGCCATGGCAGGGGGTCGAACCAGAGGATTTCTGAGGTCCCTTCCCACCCAGACCATTCAGAATTCTGTGATCACCAGCTTTTGCACCTGAGTTCCATGCTCCATCATGTACCGGGCTCCCAGGGGAGCTGCCCTGCTCCAAGGGCTCCTGCTTGGAGGAGAGGCTGTGTGCTGCTGTGTGCAGCTGCAGAGCTCCTTAAAGGAGGGCACTGCTGGCTCTCTGCTCCCTGCCCCTCCACGGGAGGGCCTTGGGAACCAGTGGGATGCAGCCCTGAGAGGGAGGAGGATTAAAGAGCCTGTCTGAGGGGTTGGGTGCTCCGTTGGATGAGGAGCTGTTTCTCCCAGGGTTACTGGAGCCCTTATAAGGCTGCACAAGCCTGCCCGGGGCGGGCACTGGCAGCCCCCGAGCTCCTCCTGCTCCCTTCAGCCTGGAGGCTTTTGTAAAAATCTGCATGCCATATATGAATAATTCTCCTTTCTGGTCTAGATCCACAGATCCCTGTAGCAGGAGGAGATTACTCATGGCTGAGGCAGAGCAGAGCACCACAGCAAGGGTTATATCAGTTGTCAGAAGCATTTCCTGGAGGGCCTGGCCTGGCTGCGTGGTTACACCGTGTGCTCAGCACAGCCTTTGCCTCTTTATGGGGAAATGCTCCCTCTTGCACAGTCAAAAGTGCATTTTTGCTGCAGTGAGCACCAAGCAGAGCAGCGCTTACCCCGGTTTTTGCTTGTAGGAGCTGGCAGAGGTTAAAAAAAAATGGAGATTTTTCTTCTTCCCCTTCTCCCCTTTTCAGGAAAGGGAACATGGTCCTTATTTTTTGGTTCTTCATGAATCTCCATGACTCTGTTGTGCTGTCAGGGCCTTCCAGGCTGGATGAGTGAGTGCTGGGCTCCGTGTCCAGCACAGAGTCACCCACTGGGGTGTGAGCCCTGCAGGGGTGTCTGGGTGACTGAAGAGATGACATTTCAGTGAAGTTAATCAGCCCGTGCTCATCACTGGCTCACATTTCTTGCAAACTTTGGTGCCTGAGGCTCACAGGAATGGGGCTTCAGCTCCAGTCACCTCCATGCTCCACATGTTTCATTGCAGCATTGATAACAACACAAATTCAAACTTTCTGGCATTCTGTGTGTGCTTGTGTTGTACTCTGGCTTTGGGAAGGCTTCGAGGGGCCCAGATTTAGGGAATTTGTTTGGTTTTCACCACATCCAGTTGCTTTCTGGGTAAAACTGAGTCCATTCCTTTCTGTGGTACGGGGTGGGAACCTTCTGCAGAGGCAGGACAGAGGCAGTGGTGCAGGGAAAGTCCCTCTGTGGCAGCATTTGCTTTGTGCAGCGAGGGCTGTTTGCCCACAGCAGGAGTCTGACGTGGGCATGGCCTGGGGCACCGGCCTTGGAGCCCTCCTGGGCCTCTCCTGCCAGGCTGCCCGGGCTGGTTTTGCTCATTGCTGCCTAATTTTTACTGACATCACAACCTGAAATGCTGGGAGCTCATTTTGGAGAACAAAGGGCTTTGGGGATTTCCATGGCTGGCAGTGCAAGTCTCTGCATAAGCACTGGGCTGCGAGTCAGGCTCTGTCTGAGCAGGGTGACGCGGCTGGAAATACAGATTTCTTTGCATGGCTTTGTAGATCATGCAATCATGGGGTGGTTTGGGTTGGAAAGGACCTTAGAGCTCATCTTTGAGGTTGCTCAGAGCCCCATCTCAATGGCTCTGTCTGGCAGAAATCTGCATCAGAAAACCCCACAGGATTGTTTTTGCTCTGAGGACTGGCCCTCGGCCAGGCTGTGTGTCACAAGTGCCCTGAGCAGATTGGTATCAGGGTCTGTGGTGCTGATGGGAGAAGCCCTTCCATCCCCACCCTGCAGCATCTCACCCTGGGTGGCTGCTGGGGCCGGTTCCTGGTGGGTCTGTGTTCCAACCACAGCAGCTGAGAGCAGCTTGTGGTGCATCGTTTCACTTTTGCAAGAGGAGCTCAAGGTGGGTTGTTACTCATACAGTAACTCTCCTGCAAGTGTGATGTGGCAGGAGGGGATTTTTTCTGCACTCACGGCTGCTCCCTGCCCTTTGCCAAAGCGTCTTGTATTAACACCTGCAAAGGGGAGTTTGCTGCTGCTGCTGCTGCTGAGCTCTCGACTCTTCCCCATCCCCAAACCCCTGTCCCTGCCTTGGAGAGCCCCAGCTCTCACACAGGGCTGTTCATACAGGTGTCTCTGCAGTGTTGAGGCCAGGCTGGATGGGGCTCTGAGCAGCCTGATCTAGTGGAAGGTGTCTCTGCCCATGGCAAAAAGGGTTGGGATGAGATAAGCTTTGAGGTCTCTTCCAAGCCAAACCATTCCAGGATTTTGTGATTCTAATTTGGATTGGTTCCATTTGTGAAACCTGATTCCAATGAGTCTGAGCTTACTTTAAACATGAGAAGGCCTAAAAATGAAACCAGGTTTTACTCGAGTAAAGAACGACGTTCTTCATTACAGAATTGGAAATAATTAGGGAAGTAAAGCTTAAAGTAAGAAAAGGAAAACTTTCAGGAATTGAACTCTCCAGCTGCCTTGATGTTCCACCCAGTGCTGCAGGCATCCCCAGCAGGTCTCTGCTTTCCAGGGGGAAGCAAAGTCTGGATTTTCCTTGCTCCAATTAGTGGGAAAGGTTATGGTGGTGCTGCTGTGGGAATGGATCTTCAAAGCGGCGCCGTGGCTGCCTGGTGCAGGATTGTGCTGAGCTGGCTGCAGCAGCAGTTCCAGCCTTGGGGTGCATGCACAGGGAGCTCTGCCTGAGCCTGCCCAGCACCAGGATTCACATGGGCACTGCCAGGGCCACGCTGGGCTGCCCTCTGCTCTCACAGGGCTTGTTCACGGCTCCTCTGCTCTGCCTCTCCTCCCACTGGGAGATTTTAGCAACGTGCCTTTAAACTAATAAAGGGGAGGGTTAGATGGGGTATTGGGAAGGAATCCTGCCCTGTGAGGATGGTGAGGTCCTGGCGCAGGTGCCCAGAGCAGCTGTGGCTGCCCCTGGATCCCTGAAGTGTCCCAGGCCAGGTTGGACAGGGCTGGGAGCAGCCTGGGACAGTGGAAGGTGTCCCTGCCCAGGACAGGGCTTGGAACATGATGAACTTTGAGGTCCCTTCCAACCCAAACAATTCCATGATTCAGACTTTTGTAATGAGCTGTATTTTTACCTGTCCTGCCCTTTTTCTCACTCCTGAGTGAGTGCACGGAGATCCCAGGCAGCATTAATCCAGCAGAAAACCTACCTGTGTGTCTGAGAGCATCACTGAGATGCTTCTTGAACTCTGACAGCCTTGGTGCCCTGACTGCTTCACCCTGGAGGAACCTCAGAGACTCCTGTCTGAAGTGTTCAGAGATGCCTTTTATTCAGGTAGATGTAAGGAAAAGTTCAGACTGTGAATGGCCACTCTGGAAAAAAGTGCATTATTTATTTGGTGGCTTTTTTTTCAGGCAATATACACATTTTACTTTATTCCTTTGATAAAATATTTCATAGAATTGTAGAACTAGGACAGAGCAGGGTACCTGCTCACAACATGACGTTCCTGGCAGCTGATGGAAGCCCTCTGCCCTCACTGCCACCTCAGAGCAGTAGAAGTGGCATCATTTTTTAGTTGGAACTATTTTTGTTCACCTCAGAAAGCATAAAAAGCAAAAGCTTTTCAATCGGGAGGGCTGGGAGGAAATGCTGGAGTGTTTATTTTGGCTGTGGGGCTCTGTCCCGTGGCTGCAGGGCCGTGCTCTCCAGCAGGGCCGGCCTCGCCGGGGCTCCGAGCATGCCTTGGCTGCCTCCCACCACACAGCCCTGTCGGGCAGGTTTGTTTCTCTGGCTTTACCAAAAAAGGGATTCCCCAGCCCATTTCCTTCATCCCCTGGGGCAGCTCGGGGGCTGCTCTCTCCTCTGTGGGTGAGCTCTGGGCTGCAGACAGGCACGGAAAGGGGAAGGAGCGACGCACACGGTGACGGTGACACCGCAGTCCTGTGACTGCTGCCACTGGGGCACCTGCCAGGGCCAGGCTGAGGGACTATTCTGTTCAAGGGAATGCTCTAGGTTGGCTCCTCTGAGCTTCCAGCCATGCTCTGGCATGATTTTGTGTGCTGAGGTTCTTGTGTTTAATCTCACTCTGCCTCTCAAGCGCAGAGTCTGCGTTTTGCTGGGTTGTTGAAATCAGGTCTGTGACAAAGCTGCTTGTGCTGCCCTTGTTGTTCAGGCAGGGGCACAGTGGTCTGTCCAGAACTGCTCACTGTAAATAATTCTGTTCCTCACATACAAAAACACAGGGCATGACCTGGGGCTGTGCATTCCTGGCACACTGGGCTCGTGGAGTTTGAGCTGGGAACCAGCTCTCCCTGGTCAGGTGAAAAATCTCACCTGTCTCAGTTTCTGTAACTTTTGTTTGGGATGTTCATTCAAAATTCATTCATCTCTCCCTGCTGTTGAGCAGTTCACAGCATTTCTTCTTCGTATTATAATCCAAACCAGCCCAAACAAGCAGGCCTGATACAAAGCAGGAATGGGTCTTTCTTGTGGTGTGGTTGCATTTGGAAATCCTCAGATTCCCCCATCCCAGTCTGCCTTCCCTCCGTGCCCACAGCTGTGTGCATCCTCAGCTTCACACAAAGGGTTGGCTTCGTTTTTCACAGGAATTGGTTGGAATTTGGCACCACACAGCAGCCCTGATTGCCCTGGCTCTTCCTCTGGTGCTGGTGGAGCTTTGTGTCTTGGTGGAGGCTGCCTTGGCAAACCCACAGCAGAAAGGGAAGGGATGTTGCATGAGGCCTGTGCAGGGTTGGGGGAATCAGGTGAGCACAGTGTGGAGAAGGCTCTTGTTGACCTGGGTCTCTTTTCTTTGCAGGATAAAGATAAAGTTTCTCTAACCAAGACTCCAAAGTTGGACCGGAGCGATGGCGGCAAAGAGGTGAAAGAGCGAGCGACCAAACGCAAGCTGCCTTTCACTGTCGGAACCAATGGAGATCAAAAGGACTCGGATACAGGTACAGCAAGGCCTCATCCCACCCTCAGACCCCGGCTGCTGGGGGGCACACAGGCTCCAGAGTGCAGCCAATCCACAGGGAAATGCTGCACCAAATTCCCTGTGGTTTTTAATTGAAGCAAGAGGCACGTGGACAAGGGGCTGGAGAGCTGCTCTGCTCCACATCTGTTCATAGTGATGTTTGTAGGTGGACAAAGCCATGGCTGTGTCAGGAGATCCCCCATTCCTTCAGCTCTTGTCTGTTTTCCTTGGTTCTGATTACCCCAGTTCAGGAAGTGTGGCTGGGACAAGCCATGGAGCAGGGCCTGCTTGTGAGAACTTGGAAAACAAGGGACTAAAGCTGAGTAGTCTTCAAAGGAAAATCAGCAAGTAGAATCTGGTCAAGCAGGTCAGTCTTGTAGCAGAAGAGTGGCTGGTGCATGAGGCTCCTGGATGGGCTGTTGGATTTGTTAGCAGTTGGGAAGAGCTGTCACAAAGCTTTGAGCATGGAGAAAATGGTATTGTTTGGTTGTAAGGGGCTGAGCTGTGGATTTCTGGGCAGAGGTTTGTGTGGGTCCTTACTGTACATCCCTGAGAAATGTGCATTTGGAAATGGTTGTGATAAAGCTCAGTGGTTGTGTAAAGAGATAAAAGGGGTGAAAGTTGGGAACGTGCTGGCAAATGGCCCAAGGGCTGTGTTTGGTGGTGCTGTGTGTGGGGTGAGCCTGGCCAGGGGCCTGACGTGGGATGTGTCTCCTCTGCCTCAGGAGCCAGGAGGGCACATCTGGGAGGGCCAGGAGTGCCTCTGCAGCTGTGAGGGCTGTTCCAGGGGCAGGACATGTGGTGGTGATGTGTCCTGAGGGTGGCCCAGGGTCTCCATGGGTTTGTATTCCTGAACTCCCTGTCTGGGGACAGAGTTTCCAAATGTTCATCAGTTCTCTTCAATGTGTTGGCCATTGGCAAGGTTTTGTGTTGCTGGGGTGTCTCCTTGGGGTGTGACTGGGGCCAGGCAGAGCTGATGAAGCAGAGCTGGAGCTGCTCTTTGCCAAGGGTGTTTGTGCTGGGTTGAGAGTTGAAGCCCACACTCGCTGTGTGGCTGTCTGACCCTTGTGACAGCTGGAATGTCACGACAGGGATCTGCTTTTCCCAGGGCTCCAGGCTCTCTCCGGCTGCAGAGATGTTGGAAATGTTTGCACTGGCAGCAGCGAGAAGGAAACCAAATGCAGAGGAGAGCAGAGAGAGCTGCTGGGAGAGGCTGTGGCTGCTGGGTGGGAGCAGCAGCCCATGAGACCCCCCTGCCCAGGGCTCCCCTGGTACCCCTGTGCTTTTGCAGCTGTGTGACTCTTATCTCAGACACATCCTCTCCTTCCTCTGCAGAGCTCTTCCTCTTCCTCTCCACAGCTCATCCTTCCTGGGGAAGTGGGTGAGCTGAGGGGCAGCAGCAGCTCAGCTCCCAGAGGAGACCCAGAGGGGTTCATGGCACCCACTTAAAAACGAACTGGGCTCTCACAACCTCTGGGAAGGTGTATGGGAGGTGCAGGCAACCTGTTTGGTGGGGACTGGGGAGGAAGTGACTCAGCCACTGGGTTGGAGATCCCAGCAGCAATCATTGTGCACAGTCAGGCTGGTGCTTAGCAGGAGCCTGTTTCTCATCCCTGTCATCGTTCACTCCAGCAGGAATCAGATGCTGGAGGTGGGAAAAGACTTAGTGGAGATAGGAGAAGACTTCCTGGCACCTTGCTCTGCTCTTGCACCACCCCATTGCAACTGTGGGGTGTTTCAAGCCTGTGTGGTCCTTGGCCTGGCTCGAGGTAGAGGCAGGTACAGACGTGTTTGTGTGCTCAGAAGCTGCACATTGTGGGGTGGAGAGGTGCCCCCAGGTCTGTGCTGGTGCCATCAGTGACACCTGGCTGAGGACACAGGTGTGACACACAGGACAGGCTTTTGTCTGGAACAGAGGCTGCTGTGTTCCCCATGTTCCTGCAGCAGGGGGAGGCTGCTGCTGCTTGCTGTGCTCCTCAGCCCTCAGAGAAGTGGGATTGCACCATCGCTGACCCCGGCTGCTTTATGTAACGCGCTCCTGCTTCCCAGGCTGTGTCCACGGGCTGCTGTGTGTGCATGAGGGGGCGTGCCAGGATGTTCCACAGCCATGTGGAATTCAGCTGTAAGGACGTGGGAGCTAGCTGAGCTCTCTCCTTGCCTCTAGTGGGGTATTTTTCTCCTCTTCAAGTGTTTAAACAATAGCGTGGATCCTCATCCTGATGTGTTGCAGTGACTCATTTTCCTTAGCACGGTGTGTGTTGCTTTTTTCCCGGATGGCTCTGGCTCAGCCTTGACGTAGGTGCTCCATAGCTGGGGTGAGGAACATCAGAGGTGGGTTTGTCTCCTGTGCAAGGGCAGCACAACCTGCCCAGGCCAGGTGTGGGGCAGCAGCTGCTGCTACAGGATGGTTGTGGGGTAGGTGGGATATTGGGAAGGAATTCTCCCTCTGAGGGTGCTGAGGGCCTGGCACAAGTGCCCAGAGCAGCTGTGGCTGCCCCTGGATGTCCCCAAGGCCAGGCTGGACAGGGCTTGGAGCACCCTGGGATAGAGGAAGGTGTCCCCCCATGGCAGGGGTGGGACTGGATGAGCTTTAAGGTCCCCACCCAAATCATTCCGGGATTCTGTGGGCTCCTAGAAGTACTACTGGCCAGCACTGTGCTGAGCCCATGGTTTGGGTACAGTTGGTTCAGAGCTAAATCTTTTAAAAGAATCTTCCTCAAAATGATTTCTAGAGCAACAATTCTGGCTCTCAGGTTCCTCAGAGTTAACTAAATGAACTGTCTTTAGGAAAAAAAAAATGGCATTGAGCCGTGAGCCTCCAGACTGTGCATGCTACAGCTCCAGCGCTGTGGGAGCAGCATCTCTGTGCCTCAGACTTCTCCTCCTTCCCTGGTGTGGCATCTCCCCGCATGCACGGGCGCTGCCCAGAGCCTACGTGCTGCCTGGCAGCCTGTGAACGAGCCCAGCCAGCTCTGCTCCCTCCCAGCAGCGTGCCAGGCTGCCTGCAGCTCCCCGTGCTGGGAGGGGGCTTCAGACCGGCAGCACCGGGTGGTTGTGGCACTCACAAACCCACAGAGCAGCAGCAGGGAGAGGGGAACGCTCCTGCTGGGCAGGACCTGGCAGCAGAGGTGGGCACGGGCGCTGGCGCAGCGGCGCTGAGCCGCGGCTGAGTCACGGCTGACTCAACGGCAGCGGGGCCGGGCACTCCCCACCTGCCCCGGGCTCTGCTCCACAGAGCCACACCGACAGGTCCTGCTGCACAGGGGGACAGGGAACGCTGCTGCAGAGCAGCTGGGAGGGCACGGAGAGCACAATGCCCTGTGCCCGCTGCTCCTCAGGATGGGTTCCTTAGCTGGATGGCACGCTGTCACTTGAGTCCCTTGGCTCGAGGTGCAGCTGTGGTTTCCAGGCCTTTAGTCATCAGCAGAGAGAGTTGGGGCTCGGTACAAATCTCAAGAGCATGCTGAGATAATTTTGGTCTCTGACAGCTCTCCCTGGAGCTGGGAAGGGCTGAGTGAGGCTGGGTCAAAGCTGGTGGTCTCCAGCAGAGCTGGGAGCCCTGCTCTCTTTGGGGTCCCACTGCCTCCCTGGGTGCCCAGCTCCCTCCCTGTGTGTTCCAGTCCCTCCCTCTTTGTCCAGTTCTCTCCCTGTGTGTCCATCTCCTCCCCTGAGTGCTCTTGGAGGAATAAGGGAGGGAGGAACCCAACCAGCTCTCCAAGCTGGTCTATGCATCTCAACCTTCCTGGGCTCTGAGGGCTCTCCTGGTGCCCAGGGCTGATTCCAGGGGCTTGTGGCCGGCCAGGGAGATGCTGTGGTGGACAAGGGCCAGCGTGAGTATGGTTGGCAGGAGCTGGCCTTGGAGCTTCAAACTCCTCTCTAATCCCCCGAGGTTGTTACGTGACGCTAATTAGTAGGTTAGAAAATGCTTGATGAATCAGCTGACCCAAACCATCCTCTCCCGGAGCCGGCTGCCGCTTGCCTAATGCTGGAGTGTTTGGAGTGACACGGCATGGGAACGGGCTCGTTAGTCCCAGCTCGGCCAGGCTGGCCAGGGGATCCGTGAGAAGCAAATTGCTGCCTTATTAAAAAGGGCATCTGCAGCCCACAGTGGTGTTTGTGCCGCTCCCCGGGCCTGGCTGGCTCCGGTGTGTGCAGCTGGGGCTCGCAGGGGCTGCGCTGCAGCGGGGCTTTCTTTGCCTGTGTCATTTCAGTCCTTTTACTAAAATAGTAAGAAACTGTTCTCACCTAGCAACCAGGGAGAGAGTGAATGTCAGAGCTTCTCCCTTCCTCGCTGGGCTCCATAATGCCGGTACAGTGTGCAGAGCCTGGCACACAGCAGCCTTCAGATCACCCTGAGAAACTCCCCGTGTGCAGCAGCCATCTGGGAAGGGCTGCGCAGAAAACCAGGTCGTTTTATGATGGGAGCTGCCATAAATCTCCCTCCTCCCCCCTCATCACCTCCTTAACATGCAGAGGGAGAGGTTGCAGTGTGCTGTGTCTCTGTGAACCAAAAATCTATCAATGATGGCTTTTTCCTTAATACAAGAGCTTTTATCAGCGCTGTCTGCAGAGTGTCCTGGCCCCAGCTCCGGGAGGGGAGGGCTGGCCAGAGCCTTCCTCCCCCGTCCTCCCTCCTCCAGCTCTTTCTATTTCGTGGGAAATGAACGGTCTGGACTTGAAAATTGATCTTGCTCTGAATAACTCACTTTTAACATGGAGATGGTTGTTTGTGATGAAGCCTCTGGGTTGCTCTCGCAGCACGTTGGGAGGCAGTGGCCATTCTGTGAAGGAGCTGCTTTCACACATCAGGGCACAGCTGTGGGGTCTGGCCCACAAGGGTAGGGAGAGCACCTGGATTTGGACCACAGGCTGTCACAGAGCATTACACCCCTCTAGTCAAATTGTATTTTAAAATACTGCAGCCAGTGGGGTTGGGCCCTGCAGATCCTCATCCCCAGGGAGCCCAGCTGAGCCCTGGGGATGGTGGGCTCAGCTGCACACTGACATGGTTATAAAGGGGCTTGTTCCTCCTGCTGGCACCTTGTCTCTGCTCCTGACTCACAGCCAAGGTCTCCACCATCCTTTCCAGCAGTGTGGGATGAAGCTCTGGCTCTGGTTCTCCATTCTTCAGGTGGGAACGAGCTCCCCACTCTATGGGTGCAGCTCAGGGTGCCTTCTGTCAAGGCAGACCTTGCTTTTCCTCTTGTTTTCCTTTGTGGCACTAGGTTGATCAACCAGATCAGCTCCTGGCTGTGCCCCTGGTGCGTTGTGTGCAGTGTGCCCATGATCTCCTGGTGCCAGTGTCCCCCCAGCCCCAGCCGTGTTCTCTGCATTCCAGGGCTCTCCTGCTCACCCTCCTCCCTGAGCTCTTCACCACCACGTGCTCTGGCCTGTCCTCCTGCCTTCTCTTGTTTGTCCACCTGTGCCATGGTGCTGCTTCTGCCACCTCCAGCCTTCCCTCAGCCTGCTTGTCCTTCAGTTCTGGAGCGCCCCAGAGCCTTGGCCCTGGTGGGACCGTGCTGCTGTGAGCCTTTCCCTCCTGAGCCAGGGGCCCCCCTTGCAGGTGCCCTGTGAGCCTGGGAGTGCATCCTCAGGGCTGGCCCTGCTCCGAGCCAGCGTGCTCCAGAAGGTTTCCTGCCCTGCAAGTTGTGCAGCAGGAATGAGTCACAGTTACGCAGGCCGGCCGGGCTGGGGGGAGCGAGCGCAGCCCGCCTGCTCTCCCGGGGGTGCAGTGCAGTCTCTGTTGCTGTCTGAGCCGCTCTAATTTATTCCTATTGATCTCTGGTGGTGCTGGCTGGGCTCAGCAGCGCCTGCCGAGCCCCTCTCGCCGCTGGGGCTGCACTCGGCGTGGCCGAGACGCTCGGCACGAGCTGCTGCTGCTGCTTTGGAGCTGGTATTTTTCCTCAGGGTTCCACCTCCCGTGCGTGTGTTGTCATGCCGAGCAGCAGGAGCAGATGCTTTCTGCATTACAGGGTGTGCTGCGTGCGTGGGGAGCGAGGGGCCACATGGCTCTGGTGTCCCCATGACCTGCCAGAGTCACACCGTGTGTGGAGAAACCTCTGAGAGGTTTTCCATCACCGCCCTGCTCTCCTCCTGCCCCTCTCTGTTGCACCTGGGGCTGGGTTCAGCCTGTGTCTGCACACAGAGCCAGCCCAGCAGCTCTGAATCCCTCTCAATCAGCCCTGGGATCCCTATGGAGCTGCTGAGGTGCTTCCAGCAGCCCTGGGCTTGTGCTCCCTATTGCAGCACTGCCCGGAGTCTCGTGTGGGCACCAGAACCACCCTCTGGGTGATGCTCAAACCCTTTGTCCTGGGAGCCTGCTCCTGCTCAGCCCTGGCAGCCTCTGGGGCTCGGTGTGGTGGAGGGCAGGAGCAGCTCCCAGCTCAGCTCCTGCTTTCCCCTTTAAGCCGCGCACGCGGTTCCTGCTGGCGTCAGCGCGAGGGAAGAGCCGAGCAGGATCCCCGAATTAAACCAGGGCTGCTGCTCGGGAGCTTTGCAGAAGGGCTGAAGCAAGCAGCAAACAAGCTGCTTTAAAAATAGCTGCATGGAGGTGTGGCTCATCCTGGGCTCACGGAGCATCCGTGGGCTGCCGTGGTCCTCTCCCACTGGGATCCGTGTGCACGGTCCAGCTGCCAACACTGAGGGCTGCCCGCCTGCACACCCCCTGTGTCACTGGGTTTGTGCTTGCTGAAGGGGTTTCAGTGTCAAATAAGCTTTTTTTCTGTCAGCCAAGGTGGGTAACATTGGGAGAGTTTCTCTCCAGTCTCTCTGTGTTGCTGCAAGATGTTCCAGAGGTGCAGTTATTTGGAGGCACAGGAGCAGCCTGCAGGAGCCAGCAGGCTGAGATCTCTGTGCAGGGACACCTTTAAATCTGCTGCAAATCTGATTCTGAGGAAAATCCTCTGGGCTGGAATAACACACGTGCAGCTCTGTGAGCCTGGGACCAGCCAGCCCAGTGCCAGGCAGGGCTCTCACCCTGCTGAGGCTCAGCATGGGAAGTGGATGATGGGAGCAGCTCTGTCTCCATCCTCTGCTTACATTTCAGGTTAAGGATCTTGCTTTTGTGGTCCCTCCACATTGCCTGAGGATTGTGCCAGGCAGGGAGCCGGGGGCTGCCACGCTGCCCATGCCATGGAGCCATAGAATCACAGACTCATGGCATGGTTTGGGTTGGAAGGGAGCTTAAAGCTCATCTCCACGCCCTGCCGTGGGCAGGTACAGCCTCCACTGGACCTTCAGGGTAGGGTGTCACACCAGGTTGCTCCAGGTCCCATCCAGCTGGCCCTGAGCCCTTCCCAGCAGGAAGCACGAGCCCGAGTCCTCGGCTGCCTCCCCATCGCGAGCGAGAGCGCGGCAGCCGCTTTCCAATTTATTTTTATCTTGTTGATCACATGCTTTGTAATGTTAAATGTTCTGTGGAGGAGGAAATTTCTGCAACTGCAGAATGAATAGGAGTTTAGGGGGGTTTCGGTTGAACTTGATAATCAATTTTTGCAAATCCCAGGCTCGTGCTGACAACCTGCAGCAGCCCGGGGATATTAATGAAAATGTTCCCATTCTAATTGTGGCTCCGTACGTGCAGAGCAGCCCTGGGCACCGTGTGCTCCAGGGGCTCTGCTTGGTGGCACCGGCCAAGATGTGACCCCTCAAGCTCTTCACGCTGGCTTTGGGGCATGGCTGGATGTGACCAGGGCTGGGGGAAGCCAGACCTGGCTGAGCAGGGTTTAAGCAGCTTGGAGAGGTGCTGCACACATGGGCCAGGTGTCCGTGTGTCCCCTGGCAGGACACACAGCACAGCGCCGTGGCTCCTGGAGCCACCCTGGCAAAGTTGTCTTCCCGTAAGCACGCTGGATTTAATTTTATTTTAAGCCATTAAAAAAACTGTCCTAGGATCTGATTTCATCTTCCAGCTCTGTTACAGCTGCCAGGATGACCAAAATGTGGTTTCAGAGTAGACTGGGATTCGCCTTCAATGCAGACATGTTTCCAGGGCTTGCATTTCATAGAATTATGGAATGGTTTGGGTTGGGAAGGACCTTAAGACTGATCTCATCCCACCCCTACCATGGGCAGGGACACCTTCTGCAGGCTCCAAGCCCTGACCAACCTGGCCTTGGACACTGCCAGGGATGAGGCAGCTGCAGCTGCTCTGGGCAATGTGAAGGTGCCTCAGTACTTTCACCTTAATAAAAAACAGCAGTGCTGGTTTTTGGAGCACCCTGGGCTAGTGGAAGGTGTCCCTGCCCATGGGAGTGGGACTGGATGGGTTTCAAGGTTCCTTCCCACCCAACCATTCCATGGCTGTGTGACTGTGGTTTGGGGGTGCTTGCTCTTGTTCTCTCAGCTGGATGATTTAGGAGAGCAAGTATCAGGCTGGATTTGGGATGACAAACCAGGCACTTCTGGGATTTCTTCCTCCCCTCCCCTCGTGTTTGTTTGGGATTTTTTTAGAGGGTTGAAGAAGCAGGTGGGTGCTCTGGGCCAGGGGGGAGCAGCCACTTTGGGAGGAGAGGACCAACCTGGTGCTGCCCACAGCTGTTTGGCTGCAGCCTCCTTGCTATGATGATGATGATGGTGATGATGATGATGATGAGATGGGTGTGATGGCCACACTTCTGAGCTGCCAGTCGTGTATCTCTCAGCTCTCCTTGCTGATGCTGTTCAGTGCCTCCAGCTGGGTGATGGTGTCAGTTTGAGTAGGCTCCTGCAGGCACCCTGGCATGGGATGGAGGCTCCTCAGCAGGATGGGAGGTGCAGCACTGGCTGTGGCCCCTCAAAGCGTCTGTTTCCTCTTTCCTCTGCTGCTCTTTGGTGCTGGAGGAGAATGGGAGGCTCTTGGAGGAGCAGGAGTGGGGCCTGGCCTGGCTGCACCCTCAGCACTATGAGCCTGCTCCAGGTGCCAGTGCTCCCACTGCAGGGATCCGTCAGGGATCATCCACAGGGATCCCTCCCTCAGCACAGGGGTCCATCACCCAGCACAGAGATCCCTCCCTCAGCACAGGGATTCCTCCCTCGGCACAGGGATCCCTCCCTCGGCACAGGGATCCATCCCTCAGCACAGGGATCCATCACCACAAGGATCCATCCCTCAGCATAGGGATCCATCGCCACAGAGATCCATCACCCACAGGAATCCATCCATCACCATAGGGATCTATCCCTCAGCACATGGATCCATCACCCACAGGGATCTATCCCTCAGCACAGGGATCCCTCCCTCAGCACAGGGCTCTATCACCACAGAGATCCATCACCCACAGGGATCTATCCTTCAGCACACAGATCCATCATTCAGCACAGGGATCCCTCCCTCAGCACATGGATCCGTCACCACAGGGATCCATCTCTCAGCACAAGCTTTGTGGATCTGTCAGTCCCACACTCAGACAGGAGCGTGTCTTTGGGCTCCAGTGGCACTGATGGCTTGTCCCCGTGTCCTTGTCCCACAGAGAAGCAGGGACCCGAGCGGAAGAGGATCAAAAAGGAGCCCGCCACCAGGAAGCCGGGCCTGCTCTTCGGCATGGGCCTGTCGGGGATCCGGGCCGGGTACCCGCTCTCCGAGCGCCAGCAGGTTGCTCTCCTCATGCAGATGACAGCAGAAGAGTCTGCAAACAGCCCAGGTGAGCTGGGGGGTTGTTCTGAAGGGTGGGCAGGCAGCTGAAGGGAGCTGCAGCCAGGGGCTCCCAGATGTCCGGAATTGCCAATCCCCAGGGTCTCCAGAGGTTCAGGACTGAGCTGCCACCCCTGGTTTGCTGCTCTCTGGGGTCTCACTCCTCCCACAGGGCTCTGCAGCTGTGGTGTCACTGGGATCTGCTCGTGCCTCTGGCTGCCATTCCTTTTTCCAGGCTCCCTCGGGCCCAATCCAGGCACCCCCAGCCTGCCCTGGCTGCTCAGCTGGAGCTTTGCTTCCATGGGAGCCTCCTCCACCTCAGCTCTGTGTTTCCCACTGGCCTCTGAGGCTATATCAGTAGAGGAGGATTGTGAACGAAGACAAAATATCATCATCTGTAGGTTTTTAATGTTTCTTCTCTCAGAAGGGGATAAGATGTGTAACCACCAGAGCTGTAACTTGAGGTGTGGAGCAGCTGGAATGTGTTTACTGCAGATTTTGTGTTCTAGTAATTTTTATCTGTTGCAAACATATTCCCCCCATTTTTGGAGGCTCCGTGCTATCCATGTGTTCACATCCACGTCCTACACACAACACTGCAGCTTTTAGCTAAAAAAACACCAATCTCACTGCTCGTGTTGCTGTTATTTGGGAAAACAAAAAGGGAAAAAGCTGCAGAGCATTCCAGTGTTCTCCCAGGAAATGCAGTCTCCTCCCAAGGCCATCAGGCCTCACATGTGCTTGGTAAAAGGCCACTTCCCTCGGGAGCTGAGGTTTGAGGGTAAGGAGCTGCATTGTGTGCTCCCAGATCACGGGATTGCCCACAGTGTTTGCCAGGACTGCAGCTCTCCAGTGGGTCTGGCAGCCCGAGATTCCCATCTCTGTGGGACACACAGGCTGCTCTGTTCACATCCTCTCCAGAGCCTGGGTTGCCTCTTGCTGCCTTGTGGTGAATATTTCGGGAAGAGCCAAACGTGATGCACGAGCTCCCTCTAAGGGCTTGGGAACTCCATAGAACAGCAGTTCCTGACACTGTTTCTCTCCTCCCTGCAGTTGACACAACACCAAAGCATCCCTCTCAGTCTACAGTTTGTCAGAAGGGAACTCCCAACTCTGCCTCCAAAACCAAAGATAAAGTAAATAAGAGAAACGAGCGAGGAGAGACTCGGCTGCACCGCGCTGCCATCCGCGGGGACGCCCGGCGCATCAAGGAGCTCATCATCGAGGGTGCAGATGTCAATGTGAAGGACTTTGCAGGTAACTGCCCAGGAATCCCAGCTTTCTTCCCACCTGCCCAGGAATCCCAGCTTTCTTCCCACCTGGTTGCATGTTCCACCTCCAAGAATGGCTCCCACCAGAAAAAGTAGTTTGTTTCTGACATGGGGTTGTGCCTTGGAAAGAGGGAATTTGCCAAAAATTGTGATTTTGGTCTTTGAAAAGAAAAAAGTCTTTTTGCCCCTTAAAAAACAAAACAAACAACAACATAAAGCCACATTAAAAATCCCCCAAAGCATCAGTGTTCTTGTTGGAGCTTGGGAGCAGAACTCCCAGGCTGTGCAGTCTGTTTGAGGTGGTGAAGCTGGGCTGGGCAGGATCCAGAGAATCCCTGGAGCTGTTGTGGCTCACACACCAAAACTGCCCAGGCCACTCTGGACTGTTTCCTTCTGCTCTTCCATGGGGGTGCCATGTTGGAGGTCTGGAGGGTGATTTGCAAAGGGAGGTGGGCTGGTTTAGCTCTATTTTTACTTAAAATAGAAGGAATTACATGCACAGAAATACTGCTGAGAGTGGGTTTGTGAAGTCAGCTCTCTGGAGTTGGGGGGCTGATGCCTGTGAATTTTTGGGAGTTGTTTTTAAGGACTGAATGTGGGGGTGCTGCTGATGGGGAGGGAATGTGAAGGGCAAGGTTAGGCTCCCACCAGACACCCAAGCTGGAGGAGTTATTAACCATCCTGACCCTCAGCTGAGGAGTTATTACCACCTCCTTCTCCTCCTCCTCCTCCTCCTCAGCAGTTCTGCCAGGCTCCTGCTCAGGGTGGTGGGATGAGATGGGAGCAGCCCTGAGTCCTGCAGGGAAAGGCAGCCACGGGATGCTGGTGAAGGGATGATGAAGGTGCCATTCGGTGGGGCTGGATCAGCCTTTCTCCAGCACATCCCAGAGCTTGACTTTGCTCTTTGCTGTTCTCTTCGCATGATTTTGGGGCTATAAATAGACATGGCTGTTCCTCCACCCGTATGATTAATCCCAGTGCCAGACTGAAGTATCAGTTGTGATTAATTCCGGGCACAGGTGCCCCCTCCAAAGGCTCCCAGTGAAGGTAACGGAACGCGCTCCCACGGCGCTATCAGCAAAACACCGGAGCAGCCGCGCTGCCAAACTTCAAAACAGCCTCTGCTTAAAAATAGGCTGTGGAACATGATAAAATAGTTTGTTCTGTGCTCTTCAGAGATTTGTTTAAGAGCTGGAGCTGCCATTACTGTGGAGAGGCTGCTGTTTGGTTTCCCCCCCCAGCCCAGGCAGGTGTTTCTGTGTTTGGAGAGCACACAGAAAATCTGTGTGGGGGCTGTCTCCAGCCCTATCTGCAGTTCTGAGCTCAGGCCTGGTCTGGGCACCAGGGTTTCTTTTACAGAGGGCTTGGAACCTAAAGCCAAACCTAAAGCAGCTTCAGAGAAGGCTGGAGAGGGACATTTCACAGGACCATGGAGTGGCAGAACAAGAGGGAATGGCCTTAAGCTGACATAGGCAGAGTTAGATGGAATATTAGGAAGAAATTGTTCCCTTTGAGGGTGGCAAGGCCCTGGCACAGGTTGCTCAGAGAAGTTGTGTCTGCCCCATTGCTTGAAGCATTGAAGGCCAGATTGGAGGGGACCTGGGATAGTGGAAGGAGTCTCTGCCCATGGCTGGGGATGGGAATGGATTAGCTCTGAGGTCCCTTCCGTCCCAAACCATTTCATGATGGTATAAAGGAGAATGCATTTATGACCTGCCTTTCACATGACATCAGCAATTCTCCTTATTTCCCATATAAAACTTTACATTTCCAGGGGCTGTATCAGGTCTTGCAGATGCTCTGACTGTAGCCCATGCCATGACCAGAGGGAGAAGGGGGATTGATGCTGTGACTGCGTGGCAGAAGGGGGATTGATGCTGTGACTGCCTGGCAGGAGTAGCAGGGCAGAGCTGCAGGTTCCTTCCTGCTGCACCACAGGGATCTGGGCAGACACTTGGCCATCAGAGCAGCACAGCCCTGCCCAGGCCGACCCTGCAGGCTTTCTCTGTGTGTCAGTGTGACTGTGAGGGTGGTGCCATGTGCTGAGTGTCCCTGTCCTTGCAGGCTGGACGGCGCTGCACGAGGCCTGCAACCGGGGCTACTACGACGTGGCCAAGCAGCTGCTGGCGGCCGGCGCCGAGGTCAACACCAAGGGGCTGGACGATGACACCCCCCTGCACGACGCGGCCAACAACGGCCACTTCAAGGTCAGGCTGCTGCCATGCCCTGCCCTGCTTTAAACCACTCACCTGGAAACGTGTGAAAACACAGAGATTTGGGTGGTTTTGTCTCGTTTCCCATGGAGGGGGCAGGAGGTTGTGTTCAAGGCCAGGCTGCACGAGGCTTGGAGCAGCCTGGGTTAGTGGAAGGTGTCCCTGCCCATGGCATGGGATGGGCTTGAAGGTCCCTTCCAATCTAAATTATTCTCTGATTGTGTGATTTTCACTGTTTCAGAGCTGTTGAGTGTTTATCCTTAGTTCATTCTTCTGGAATTGAGACAGGAGCATGATTTTGTGCCTTGTTCTTCCCCCTTCTTTCCTGCCCAGGTTGGTTCTGAGAATCACAGAATCATTAAGGTTGGAAAAGGCCTCCCCAGTCATCAAGCCTAACCATTAACCTGCTGCTGCCAGTGCCCCACTAAACCCTGTCCCTAAATGTTTTTCAACACTTCCAGGGATGGTGATTCCACCACTTCGCTGGGAATGTTGCTGGGACTTCTCTCTTATGTTAGTACCACAAGGCATGTCGTGAAGACACCAATTTTTTAGTTATATGTGAAAATCATGCAAAAAAACCCCTGGAATCAAAACATGGTGAGCATCCTCAAGCCTCAATTTCTCTTTTCAGGTGGTGAAATTGTTGTTGCATTATGGAGGGAATCCTCATCAAAGCAACAGGAAGGGCGAGACGCCTTTGAAAGTAGCGAATTCTCCCACCATGGTGAACCTGCTCCTGGGGAAGACCACGTACCCCTCCAGTGAGGAGAGCTCCACAGGTGAGACTGGCCTTTCTGTGGCCATGGCAGTGACAGCTGTGGCCTGCAGCTGACACAGAGACCTTAGGAGGACAGGGAAGTCAGATGCTGCCATGGTCAGGAGCCCACCTGTGGCTGTAACCCAAATTCAGACAGCATAACCACCAGCTTTAGCTTGGGGGGCTGTTTGCCCTGGAAGCCAGCATTGAGATTGCTTCCCTGGTGCAGTTGGGATGTAGGGTTGAAAGCCAGTTGCAGGTAAATGGATGTCTTACCTTTGGAAGGTGGGTAATTCCAGTGGAGAGGAGGGGGTTTGAGTGCCAGCACTCTGTTCCTGTTGTTCAGCTGTCCCAGCACTGGTGTTTCAGTTTCTCCTTCCTGGCTGTCCCTGCTACAGCCTCTTCCACCACTGCCACCACTGTGGGACACTGCAGGTTTTAATTAGTGCAAATTAGAGGTTTCAGTCTTTTGGGAAGCTTTCACCTACACTGTGTGCAGTCATAACCCTGTTCCAAAGTTCTCATGATACACCCAGGATGTTATTTTGAGGAACACCCCCCATGCAGGTTGGAGCTGGAGGAGCTTCCTTCCAAAATGATCCCCCAGGATGCTGGGTGCCAGGTTGCAAAGGCTGGGTGAGGCCAAAGGGCGTCAGGGCTGTTTGCAGGGGTTGGTGTGTGCAGACCAGTGATGTTCCCTCCCCAGAACCCTTGGCAGTCCTTCACACGCTGTTCTTCTCTCTCTGCAGAGACCTCAGAAGAGGAGGACGCCCCTTCCTTCGCTCCCTCCAGCTCCGTTGATGGCAATAACACAGACTCAGAGTTTGAGAAGGGTTTGAAGCACAAGCCCAAGGCCCAGGAGCCCCCCAAAACCATCACCCCGGTGAAGGATGAGTATGAATTCGATGAGGACGATGAGCAGGACCGGGTCCCACCGGTCGATGACAAACATTTGCTGAAAAAGGATTACAGGAAAGAGACTAAAGCAAACAGTTTCATTTCCATACCCAAAATGGAAGTGAAAACTTACACTAAAAATAACACAATTACACCAAAGAAAGCTGCCCACCGCATCCTGTCGGACAGCTCGGACGAGGAGGAGACCAGCGTGGCCGTGGGCACGGGGGAGAAGCTGCGCCTCTCCACCCACTCCATACTGCCCAGCAGCAAAATCCGGGAGCCCGCCAGCACCAAGGCGCCCAAGGAGAAAAGCAAAGTAAAAAAGAAGCGGAAGAAGGAGACAAAAAACAAAGAGGTTCGGTTTGGCAAAAAAAATGACAAGTTTTGTTCCTCTGAATCAGAGAGTGAAAACGTGGAGAGTGAGGAGGATGATAGAGACTCTCTACAGAGCTCTAGCTGTGTAAAGGACTCAAGGCTAGTGCTAAAGGAATCCTCCTTGTTTAACTCTCTGTCTGCCTCATCGACCTCTTCACATGGGAGTTTAGCATCCCAGAAACATAATCCCAGTCTTACAGAACAGCACTCCAAGCACTGGAGGACGGACAATTGGAAAACCATATCTTCTCCAGCTTGGTCAGACGTCAGTTCCCTATCGGACTCCACCAGGACGAGGCTGACGAGCGAGTCAGACTACTCGTCCGAGGACTCGAGCTTAGAGTCACTAAAGCCAGTCAGGAAGAAACCAGAGCACAAAAAGAAAAACACCCCCCACAACACTGTTTCTGAGAAAAAGAATTCATTCCATAGCAATGTGGATGGAGCAATTCCAAAGCTGGACAAAGAGGGGAAGGTTGTTAAAAAGCATAAAACAAAACACAAACATAAAAACAAGGAGAAGGGACAGTGTCCCATCAGCCAAGACATTAAAATAATCAAAACATTTTCTTTTGAGTTTGAGGACTCTAAACAAAAGCCTGAGAAAGGCTTGATAGTAGAGACAGAAAATCCAGTCGAAAACAAGTTGAAAGTGTTAAAGCACGATAGGGAACATGGTAAAAAGGAGGAAAAGCTCCCCAAAGGTAAAGCAGAGGAGAAGGAGTGGTTGTTTAAAGATGAGACTGGAAAATCCTCAAAAGAGGAGAAATCATTAAGAAAAATCAAAGATGGTAGTAAAGACCTGAGCAAATCCTTCAGAGAAGGATTGAGTAAATCAGAAAAAGAGAAACCTGTCAAGGAGAAATCTCCCAAGGAGGAGAAGCCGAGAATACACAAGGAGGAGAGAAAGAAGAAGTCAAAGGACAAGCAGTCCAAATCTGAGAAGAAGAATGAGCTGAAGGAGGAGAAGGTTTCTAAACTAGAGAAAGAAAAATCCTTCAAGGAAGAGAAGGAAAAATGCAAAAAAGAAAAACTTTACAGGGACGAGTCCGGGTTTGATGAGTTTAATAACAAAACTCAGTTTGCCGAAAGCGAGGACACGAAGTTCAGCCTTTCGGACGATCAGCAGGAGAGGTGGTTTTCAGACCTGTCCTCTGATTCATCCTTCGATTTCAAGGGTGAGGACAGCTGGGATTCTCCAATAACAGATTTCAGGGAGATTAAAAATGACACCGTGGCAAAGCTAATCATAGAACCTGTGAAAGAGGAAATTAAAGACAAGAAAAAGGAAAATAAAATAAAAGAGAAGAAGGAATACAGCGAGAAGCGGAATGAAAAGGACACTTTCTTAAAGAAAAAGGAGAGGGATTATGTGGAGAAAAGCTCTGAGAAGAAAAAGGACCAAACAGACAGGCACAAAGTTACTCCCAGTTATTTGCCTGAAAAGGATAAGAAAAGGAAGGATTCTGTGGAGACTGGTAAGGAGAGGAAAGAAAAAGACACAGGTGAAACCAACAAAGACAGAAAAGATTCCTCTGACGGCTCTAAAGAGAGAAAAGATCCCAAGACGAAGCAGGAGGAGCCCTATCGAGATGACTTCAAGGAGTATGGCTGTGAAACATTCTTCAAGGATAAGTCTGACCCTGAGTTCAGTGGCAAAACCCTGGAGAGCTGGGAGAGGCACCATTCTGGGAAGGAAAAGGAGAAGAAAGATGCTCCTGATAAAGAAAAAAAAGAAAAGGTGAAGCCAGAAAAATACAAGGAAAAATCCAAAGAAGGCGACAAGGAGAAAAATGAAAAAGCTGCTCCGGAGAAAATCCTGAAGGACAAAGAACTAGAGAAGAGTTTTAAAGAGAAGAAAGAAACCAAGGAGAAATACAAGGATCTTCACAGCAAAGACAAGGAGAGGAAGAGCTCCTTTGACCAGGTGAAGGAGAAGAAAGAGAAAAGCTTTTCCACAGACAGAGACGATTTCTCCGAGAAGAAGGATGAGAAGAAGGGCAAGGAGAAGAGCTGGTACAGCATCGCTGACATCTTCACGGATGAGAGCGAGGACGAGAGGGACGATTACAGCCTGAGCGGGTTCAAGGTGGGCGACTCGGCCGGCAGCGAGGGCCATCGCCTGGACAGCCTGCAGGACAAGGACGAGGCTGCCGCCGCCGACAAGGAGCTGTACCCCGACAAGCACCGCAAGTACTCCTCCGAGCGGCAGCACTCGGACAAGCAGAAGGACAAGGAGTCCAAGGAGAAGAAAAAGGACAAAGGAACATCGGAAGGGGGGAAGGAGAAGAAGGAGAAGAGTTCCTTTGAGAAACACAAAGAGAAGAAAGATAAAGACTCCAGTGAGAAGTACAAGGACAGGAAGGAAAGGATGTCCATAGATTCCACTCAGGAGAAGAAAAACAAGCAAAAGCTCCCAGAAAAGGTTGAGAAGAAACACACCAGTGAGGACAAGGTGAAAAGCAAACATAAGGAGAAGCCGGACAAGGAGCATTCCAAAGAGAAGAAATCCTCAAAAGGAGGGGAGTCGGAGAAGAGCCTGCTGGAGAAACTGGAGGAGGAGGCTCTGAATGATTACAGGGACGACTCCAATGACAAAATCAGTGAGATCTCCTCTGACAGCTTCACAGACAGAGGGCAAGAGCCAGGACTCACCAGCCTCTTCGAGTCTTCTAACCTCTCTCTGACCGATGCCGCTGAAGAAAAGTTTAAGGACTCTCTCCCTTTACCCTGCCTTCAGGACAAGCTCAAGGAGAAGGAGAGGCACCGACATTCCTCATCTTCCTCAAAGAAAAGTCACGAGAAAGAAAAAGCAAAGAAAGAGAAAACAGAGAAAAAGGAAAAATCAGAAGAATTCAAGGACTCCAGCAGCAGAAAGGATTCCACTCATTATGAAAAGGATTTCTCTGTGGATGGGGAGGCTTTTGGCTCTTCCTACAACATGAAGGCAGACGCTGATGAGGAACCGGAGAAGAGCATTGATTACTTATTTTCTGAAAAGAAGGATAAAAATGATTCTGAAAGAGAGCTGTCAAAGAAGGCGGAGAAAGAAAAGACTTACGGTTCCAGCACCATCAGCACAGCTAAAGAGAAAAAGAAGCGGGATAAACACAAGGAAAAATGGAAGGAGGAAAAGGAAAAGCATAGGGACAAACACACAGATGGTTTCTTTAAACATCACAAAGATGAGCCAAAGTCAACACTCAAAGATAAGGACGGGCCTCAAGTTACCACCTTTAAAGATAAATCCAAGGAGGACAACCTCAAATTCGGTGAAACCAAACTGAAGGAGAAGCTTAAGGAGAATCAAGACAAAGACAAATCAGAGTCCATAAAAATAAGCAATGGGAATGAAAAAATAACCCTTTCCAAAGACAGCGGCAAGAAGGATGCCAGACCAAGGGAGAAACTTCTGGGAGATGGTGATTTGATGATGACCAGCTTTGAGAGGATGCTGAGCCAGAAGGACCTGGAGATCGAGGAACGCCACAAAAGGCACAAGGAGAGAATGAAGCAGATGGAGAAAATGCGGCACAGGTCTGGGGACCCCAAGCTGAAGGACAAACTTAAGAGCTCGGAGGATGTGCGCAAGAGGAGCCTGGATCTGCCAACCAAGAAGCCGCTAACGCTGGACACGCAGCTCAAGGACAAGAAACTCAAGGAGTTGGGTCCCCTGACTCCCATCCTGTCACCAGAAAACAAGGCACAGCCTGCTGTGGGGACAGACTCCAAGGACTGGATCACAGGTCCTCAGCTGAAGGAGATCCTGCCAGCATCTCCCAGGCCAGATCAGAACCGGCCCACGGGCGTCCCGACCCCGGCGTCCGTCGTGTCCTGCCCGAGCTACGAGGAGGTGATGCAGACTCCCAGGACCCCCTCGTGCAGCAACGAGGACTACACGGACCTGATGTTCGAGTGTGCGGACTCCCAGCACTCGCTGCCCATCTCCACCATGTCCATGAACGCCTGCTCTCCTTCCTTCTTCGACAGATACACCAACGTTTCCAGCGGGCTCCCCGAGAACCCCAGTCAGACCCCGACTCGCACCATTCCCTCCTCAAACCTCTACCGCTCCATCTCAGTGGATATCAGGAGGGCGCCCGAAGAGGAGTTCAGCGTTGGAGAGAAGTTTTTCAGACAGCAAAGTGTCCCAGCAACATCAAATTATGACTCTCCTGTGCAGCATTTAATGGAGGAGAAAGTTCCCCTTCCCTCTGTTCCTGCTGAGAAGTTCCAGTGTTTGTCTCCTGGGTATTACTCCCCAGATTATGGAGTTTCCTCTCCCAAAGTGGAAGCTTTGCACTGCGCTCCGGGAGCCGTCAGCGGGGTCGCCCAGTCTCCCGAAAGTGTCTTTTCTGGTTTACAAGCAAAATCCTCCCCTTCGCACAGGGATGAGTTGCTGGCTCCTTCAGTGGAAAGTGCTCTTCCCCCCGACATCGGCATGCCCCTGGATACCACAGAGGAGCAGCAAGCCACTGCCTCCATCATGCCACCCGAATCCACCTACCTGCCACCCATCGAGGAAAACCATTTTAGTTCGGGAATGCCCGAACAAAACAACATAGACTGGGATAACCCTCCTTCCCGAAACCCAGACACCGCCATTCCTCCCAGCCTCATGGGCAACCCCGCAGAGCACTCTGTCACCTGGTCCATGGGCTCGGAGCTTCTGATGAAATCTCCCCAGAGGTTTTCCGAGTCCCCTAAACCTCCACTCTGTTCCCTAGAGCCAATTCATCCTGCGCCAGTAGCCTTCATTCCCACAGAGACTTCCTACCCTGTTTCTCCCATCTCGTACCCTCTGTCAGTGTCTGAACCGAGGCTGGAGGAAGTCAAGGAGGATGCTGAGGAAGCAGTTCCAGGAGAAATTGCAAACGCTGAAGAGCAAGCTCCATACATGTCCCCTACTAGGTTAGACACCTTCTTCAACAACTGCAAGCCTCTTCCAGAAGAAGCACCAGAGATCCCTCCAGAGCCGCCGTGTGTGCCAGCAGAACCTCAGGCTGAAGTCGTTGCTGCACCAGAAAACAACTATTTGGAAAACAACAACGCAGCACCTGCGAACGCAGAGGAGGCGGTGACGTGGCCAGACCCCTTCACCAACACCGAGGATGAACTGGACCTTGGCCCCTTCTCGCTCCCAGAGCTGCCACTCCAGCCTAAGGACGTTGCAGAGACGGAGATGGCCGAGGCAGAAGCAGTGGAGGAGAGCCCAGCAGCAGCTCCAGAACCGAGCACTGGCGTCATCAAAGCCGGCGCGTCCGTGATAGCGTCCGGTGAGCCGGAGGAGCCGCCGGCCGGCCAGGCTGCGGCCACCCTGCCCACGGACACAGAGCCACCAGCAGAGGAGCAGAAACCAGAAGTGGCTGTACAAGAATCCACCTCAGAGGCACTGAACGCAGCTGAGGAGAAGGCAGCGGAGGACTCGGAAGCGCAGGTGTTCCAGCAGACCCCGCCCGAGCCCGCACAGGCCGAGAGCAAAGAGGTGGAGGCCGTGCACGAGGAGCTGCCGCCGGCTGGCGGGGTGGCAGAGGGCAGCTCCCAGCCCTGTCCCGTGCCCGTGGCCAGCTCCGAGGCTGGCACTCCACAGGACAGTGCCACGGCCCGTGCGGGGAGCCAGGCCCCGCCACCCCAGGCGGACGCTCCTCCTGGCAACGCTCAAGCAGAAATTGTGGAACCAGTACAAAAACCAGTAGCAGAAGCTCCCAAACCACCCAAAATAGAAGAGATTCCTCAGCGGATTACCAGGAACCGGGCTCAGATGCTCGCCAACCAAAACAAGCAGAACGCCGCCGCGTCCGAGAAGGAATTTCCTCCCGTCTCCGCGCCCGTCACGCGTGCCAAAGGCCGCATCACGGAGGAGGACGATTCCCAGGCGCAGCACCCGCGGAAGCGCCGCTTCCAGCGCTCCAACCAGCAGCTGCAGCAGCAGATCAACACGTCCACGCAGCAGACGAGGGAGATGATCCAGCAGACCCTGGCAGCTATCGTCGATGCCATCAAACTGGATGACATCGAACCTTACCACAGCGACAGGTCCAACCCCTACTTCGAGTACCTCCAGATCAGGAAGAAGATTGAGGAGAAGCGGAAAATCCTGTGCTACATTACTCCCCAAGCTCCACAGTGCTACGCTGAGTATGTCACCTACACAGGCTCCTACCTGTTGGATGGCAAACCCCTAAGCAAGCTCCATATTCCAGTGGTGAGTCACCTTCTCTCTTTAGCCTCGGGAACTGTCCCCCCTCACTGTTACACACACATCCAAGCTGTCCCCCCTGCCCTGTCACCACCTTGCAATGCCAACATGCCCCAAGCTGCCTTTGGAATATGACACCTAACCTGAGCCTGGGTAAGTGCCTGGCTCTGTGGTAAATGCAGCCCTTGAGTTGCCGCATTTTTGCAGAGAAGATCTTGAACTGTGCTGAGGAACCTGAGGTTTGGTCAGGCTTTAGAACAAAGTTTGTAAGAATCTACTAGATCTGAGGCTGGGAGGTAAAACTGCTCTTGCAGCAGTGCAGTAACAGGATAATGACCCTGGAACGTGGGGAAAAGATGGCTCTTAACTCCTGCCATCATTTTCCCAAGCTCTGCTCTTTGACTTGGCACTGGGATCAGCATTTCACTGCTGTGCTGCAGGAGCAGCCTCACTAATACAAATGCATCAATAAATGTGGTGCTGCAGGTGGTAAATCTGGGCTCCAGGCTGGAGGAGAAGGGTCAGTGTGACCAGGCTCCATTCCTTGCTGCACACCCTGCCCTGCAGCACAAGGGTGTGTCAGGCTCTGC